GAACCTAACATAACCTGACGCTAACCTAACATAACCTGACGCTAACCTAACATAATCTAACGCTAACCTAATATAATCTGACGCTAACCTAACATAATTCAACCGCTAACCTAACATAACCTGACGCTAACCTAACATAATCTAACGCTTAACCTAACATATAACCTGACGCTAACTCAATATAATCTAACGCTAACCTAACATAACCTGACGCTAACTCTAACAACCCGACGCTAACCTAACATAATCTAACGCCAATCCAATATAACCTGACGCTAACTCTAACATAACCTGACGCTAACCTAAACATAAATCGAACGCTAACCTAACATTACCTGACGCTAACTCAACATAACCTGGACGCTTAACCTAATATAACCTGACGCTAACCTAATATAACCTGACGCTAACTCCAATATGGGGTCCTGGCGCTAACCTAACATAATCTAAATGCTAACTAACATAATCTAACGCTAACCTAACATAAATTCTTGACGCTAACCTAATATAATCTAACGCTAACCTAACATAACCTGACGCTAACCAAACATAACTTGACGCTAACCAAACATAATCTTAACGCTAACCTAATATAATCTAACGCTAACCTACCATAATCTAACGCTAACCAAACATAACCTGACGCTAACCACGAGCAACCTGACGCTAACCAAAACATAATCTAACGCTAACCTAACATAATCTAACGCTAACCTAACATAATCTAACGCTAACCAAACATAACCTGGACGCTTAACTCCAATATAACCTGACGCTAACTCAACATAATCTAACGCTAACTCCAACATAACCTGATCGCCAAACCAAAATATAACCTGACGCTAACCAAACATATTCAACGCTAACCTAACATAATTCAATTCATCCTTAACATAATCTAACGCTAACCAAACATAACCCGACGCTAACCAAACATAACCTGACGCCAAACATAATCTAACGCTAACCCAATATAATCTAACGCCAACCTAACATATTCTAACACTAACCAAACATAACCTGACGCTAACCTAACATAATCTAACGCCAACTCTAACATAACCCGACGCTAACCAAACATAATCTTAACGCTAACCTAACATAATCTAACGCTAACTCAACATATAACCTGACGCCAACCCAATATAATCTAACGCTAACCTAACATAATCTAACGCTAACTCCAACATAACCTGACGCTAACCAAACATAACCTGACGCTAACCAAACATAACCTGACGCTAACCAAATATAACCTGACGCTAGCCTAACATAATCTAACGCTAACCTAACATAACCTGACACTAACCTAAACATAACCTGACGCTAACCAACATAATCTAACTAACTAATATACCTGACGCTAACCTAACATAATCTAACGCCAACTCTAACATAACCTGACGCCAACTCCCAACATAAACACCAACGCTAACCTAACATAACCTGACGCTAACCTAACATAACCTGACGCTAACCAAACATAATCTTAACGCTAACCTAACATAACCGATCGCCAACCAAACATAATCTAACGCTAACCCAATATAATCTAACGCTAACCTAACATAATCTAACGCTAACCTAACATAACCTGACGCCAACCAAACATAACCTGATGCCAACCCAACATAATCTAACGCTAACCTAACATAATCTAACGCTAACCCAACATAATCTAACGCTAACCTAACATAATCTAACGCTAACCTAACAACCTGACGCTAACCTAACATAATCTAACGCTAACTCCAACATAATCTAACGCTAACTAACATAATTCAACGCCAACTCTTAACATAAATCGACGCTAACCAAACATAACCTGACGCTAACCTAACATAATCTAACGCCAACCTAACGCTAACCTAAGATAACCTGACGCTAACTTAAACACAATTCCAACGCTAACCTAACATAATCTAACGCTAACCTAACATAACCTGACGCTAACCAAACATAACCTGACGCTAACCAAACATAACCTGACGCTAACCAAACATAACCTGACGCTAGCCTAACATAATCTAACGCTAACCTAACATAACCTGACACTAACCTAACATAACCTGACGCTAACCTAACATAATCTAACGCTAACCTAACATAACCTGACGCTAACCTAACATAATCTAACGCTAACCTAACATAACCTGACGCTAACCTAACATAATCTAACGCTAACCTAACATAACCTGACGCTAACCTAACATATAACCCGACGCCAACCAAATAATCTAACGCTAACCTAACATAACCCGACGCTAAATCAAATAGAATCTAACGCTAACTCTAACATAATCTAGTTCAACCCAACATAATCTAACGCTAACCTAACATAACCTGACGTTAAACCAAACATAACCTATTAACCTAACATAATCTAACGCCAACCCAACATAATCTAACGCCAACTAACATAATCTAACGCTAACCTAACATAATCTAACGCTAACCCAATATAACCTGACGCTAACCCAACATAATCTAACGCTAACCTAACATAATCTAACGCTAACCTAACATAATCTAACGCTTAACCTAACATAACCTGACGCTAACCAAACATAACCTGACGCTAACCTAACATAATCTAACGCTAACCTAACGCTTAACCTAAACATAACCTGACGCTAACCAAACATAATCTAACGCTAACCTAACATAATCTAACGCTAACCTAACATAACCTGACGCCAACCAAACAATCTAACGCTAACCTAACATAATCTAACGCTAACCCAACATAACCTGACGCTAACCAAAACATAATCTAACGCTAACCTAACATAATCTAACGCCAACTCCAACATAACCCCACGCTAACCTAACATAATCTAACGCCAACCTAACATAATCTTAACGCTAACCTAACAACCCGACGCTAACCAAACAGCAATCTAACGCTAACCTAACATAATCTAACGCCAATCAACATAACCTAACGCCAACCAAAGATGGTCTAACGCTAACCTAACATAATCTAACGTACAACTTAAATAACCTGACGCTAACCTAACATAATCTAACGCCAAACCTAACATAATCTTAAACGCTAACTCAATATAACCTGACGCTAACCAAACATAATCGAACGCGCTAACCTAACGCTAACCTACCATAACCTGACGCCAACTCCAACATAATTCAAACGCTAACCTAACATAATCCAACGCTAACCTAACATAACCTGACGCTAACCAAACATAATCTAACGCTAACCTAACATAACCTGACGCCAACCAAACATAATCTAACGCTAACCTAACATAATCTAACGCTAACCTAACATAACCAGACGCCAACCTAACATAATCTAACGCTAACTCAACATAATTCAACGCTAATCTAATATACCCACGCTAACCAAAGAGCAATCTAACGCTAACTCTAACATAATCTAACGCTAACCTAATATACAACCTAACGCTAAACCCAATATAACCTAACGCCAACCTAACATAACCTGACGCTAACCTAACATAATCTGACGCTAACCAAACATAATCTAACGCTAACCTAACATAATCTAACGCTAACCTAACATAACCCGACGCTAACCAAACATAATCTGACCTCAACCTAACATAATCTAACGCTAACCTAACATAACCTTACCAACTCCAATATAATCTAACGCTAACCTAACATAATCTAACGCTAACCTAACATAACCTGACGCTAACCAAACATAATCTAACGCTAACCTAAGAGAATTCCAACGCTAACCTAACATAACCTAACGCTAACCAAAACATAATCTAACGCTTAACCTAACATAATCTAACGCTAACCTAACATAACCTGACGCTAACCTAACATAATCTAATGTATTAACCTAACATAATCTAACGTCCAATATAACCTGACGCTAACTAAACATAATCTAACGCTAACCTAACGCTAACCTAACATAACCTGACGCTAACCTGCTAACATAATCTAACGCTAACCTAACATAATCTAACGCTAACTCAATATAACCTGACGCTAACTCAAACATAATCTAACGCTAACCTAACATAACCCGACGCCAACCAAACATAATCTAAAGCTAACTCTAACATAATCTAACGCTAACCTAACATAACCTGACGCCAATTCCAACATAATCTAACGCTAACTCTAACATAATCTAACGCTAACCTAATATAACCTGACGCTAACTAAACATAATCTAACGCTAACCCAATATAAATCTAACGCTGAATTCCAATATAACCTAAACGGCCAACCTAATATAACCTGACGCTAACCTAACAGAACCAACCAACTCAATATAACCTGACGCTAACTTAAATATAATCTAACGCTAACCTAACATAACCTCTGACCCCAGGTAGCATTAGGGTGTTTAGTCATCAAGTGAAACACCCTGGGGGAGGGGGAGCAAGATCTTTACGTGGTGTATTTGCTTAACAATGCCATAATTATCTATCAGAATCCTGTCGTGGAATTTACGTCTTAAAACACTCAAAATTCTCGAGTTTGGAGAGTTAGAACTAAACAAAATAAACCAGAACTAATAATTGAAACACCAAAAGGTTCCTCATTTTCCCTGTAACTCGTTTTTACTTCCATCCTCTTGGTGGAGTTACATGATCGGTGTCTTATTCTAATTTGTTTAGGTACAGGTCCTCGCTAATAAGCCGTAGTATCTGATTGGTATATAATAGTCGGTGTCATATTCCAAAGCCAAACACATGAAAGGGAACGGACCACGTCGTCTGCTGGCTCAAATTCGCGCGCCATTGGTCAGAATAATAGTGATCGCGTATTAATTGATTCATGTTCTAAATAATTAATGATAAGAAACATCTATTAACGAACACTGTATACCTTTACTTATATAATTATTTTTAACTAAATGTATTTTAAGTATAATAATTCTTATTTAATGATTTTCTCGTAAAATATAATAAAAGTGTGCCATGACTATTCTTCCTCCCGGCACCACTGGGGCTGCCTGGCCACGGTGTTTACAGACAGACGAGCCTGGGATGGCAGGGAACAACAGTGTCCCTGAAGACAGTGCAGCGCCTACTCTTACTAAGCTCCGGCTATTGTGTAATAGACTCGTACAGGAAGCCAAGGACATGGAAATTAGTGTGGACGACCTCATGGAACTGTACCTGACCAATAAATATTGCGAATTTGAGCTTATAAGTAGAGACAAATCTAGGAAAATTGCCGCGTGTGCCAACAGCCCAAGTGCCAAGCCGTGCCACTGGTGGAGGTGGTGGGCAGCAGGTGCCATCCTGGTGCTAGTGTTCAGTGTTCTCTTAAATTCATATGTGAACATTTTTACCCGGATAAGGAATGAGTTTATCACTTCAAAATGCATCGTACGCAACAATTACTTTATGATGGAGGCCACACGCCCGCGGACGAAGTGTGGGCGTGTGTGTGGTGGTGTGGGCGGTCCTGTCGAGCTAAATATCAACATCACGCGGGCGGAGTTTGAGAGGTGGGCGTACCTTTCCCGCCCGCTGGTGGTCAGAGGAGGCGCCGCTCAATGGCCAGCCCTGGAGACCTTTTCCGTGGCGTTCTTCCGCAGTATTTACGATAGTGTTGAGGGCTCCTACGACGCTGTCACCGACGACTGTCAGTTCTTGCCCTTCCGTACAGAGTTTGTGGACTTAGGGGCGGCTCTGGCTATGCACCCCGCCCGCGCTGCGAGGCTCCCGGGCACACCTCCATGGTACTTTGGCTGGTGAGTTATAAACTTGTAACACAATTTTATTCTATATGTCTATTTATTTATATCTATTTATATTACTATATGTATCAACGTAACCTTGTTGCAAAGACCCCTCAGAGTGAAGTACAAGGAACAGAGAGCTCCAGAAGAACAAGTGTGTCGTTCTGTCCTCTGACAAACGTCAACACCGCTACTAGTTTCATCCACCAGTGAAGTTAAAGCAACATTGGGTCTGGTGGAACTTGGCTGGGTGACCTGACCGCCCAGGAATACCAGATGTTGTTGGCAGTTAAGATAAAGGACACTATTGGAAATAAGCATCTGATGGCTTTGTCAGCTAAATTGCCTAAATATGAATGATTACTATTATTATTAGCATTACTCCTATAGCGCAGTTCATTCAAACATAGCATTACCTATCCTAACTTAACCAACTAACCCAACCCAACCCAACCTAAACTAATCCACCCTTTAATTCCAAGGGGTAATCTCAGCACGCCTAAAGCCTTCAATGAGGTTTTGATCGAACCGCGCCATGTCCAGGACATTTTCTGCCCAATGCTGTCTCTACTTCATCCTTTTTACCACTGATCGACTCGTTAGCCGCTTGGGTGGTCGGTCACGTCTCTGTTACACAGTGTTGGCAAGTACTGGGCATGTACCGGCTCCTGAATGTACCTGAACCTGCCCAGTGTTGGTCAAGTCTGGTCTTAAAAACAGCTCACACCGGTGCCGTCACAACACTCTCTGGCTGGTTGTTCCAAGAGTTCACAACTCTCACTCACAGTTTTCTGGACTGTGGCTTCTTCAACCTTGAGCTGTGACCCCTTCAGGGGCGAGCGTCCGCCAGCTCCAAGTATGAACACTCGACTGGTGTCCTCCGAGATGTTTATAAACTTCAATTAAGTCCCCCCTTGTCCGCCTTCGTATAAGCTAGGCTACTGCGCGTGTTCCAATCTCCCTGGCCCTCCTTTTGACATTTTCAATCAACTGACAGTCCCTAGCATATCTCAGACCAGACAGGGTGACAATACTCAGGAGGAAGCACCTCACCCTTAAAGATCGTTACGAGGGACGGCTGAACCACACCACCTAAATTCTAGATACATTAGTGCTCAGCTTATACGAAATACACTATAGAATTTATAGTTAAATTATTCGATTAACGGTCATAAATTATACCTAAAGTGAAGTATCGAATATATAATATTTTCTTGATATATTAAGTGTATTGTTTTTGAATAGTTAATATTATGGTCCTTTCGTAGACTATAATAAAAAAGTATATCCAGTGTGTTTGTTACATGATTAAAGACATTTACTTACATCTAAACACTATTATTATTATTACCATTATTATTTTTCTATTGTTATTTTTATTTATTTATATTATTATTATTGTATGATCACCCACATTCTTCCTCTAAACACCCACATTCTACCTCTAACATTCCCCATCCACAACCACCCCTAACATTCCCTCATCCACATTCCCCATTCCCCAACATTCCCTCACCCACATCTCCCACCCTAACATTCCCCACCCACATCTACCCCAACATTCCCCACCCACATCTCCCCACCCCAACATTCCATCATCCACATCTACCTCTGACATCCCCACCCAATCTACCTCCAACATTCCCCACCCACATCTCACCTCCAACATTCCCTCATCCACATTCCACCTCTAACATTCCCCATTCACATCTACCCCTAACATCCCTCATTCACAATCTACCTCTAACATTCCTCATTCACAATCTACCCCCTAACATTCCCTCACCCACATTCTACCTCTAACATCCCTCACCCACATCCTCTAACATCTCCTCACTCACAATCTACCTCAAACATTCCCTCACCCACATCTCTAACATCCCTCACCCACATCTCCACCTAACATCCCTCACCCACATCTACCTCTAACATTCCCTCATTCACATTCTACCTTTAACATTCCCTCATTCACATTCTACCTCTAACATTTCCTCACCCACATTCTTCCTCTAACATTCCTTCACCCACGTTCTTCCTCTAACATTCCCTCACCCACAATCTACCTCCAACATTCTGTAGTGATGGGTTGTCAGACCACAGCACACATCGCAAGGAAAGCCAGACTTGACCCGACATTAGGGGTCCAAGTGTAAAGTATCACGGGTAAGGGTGTTACAAATCCAACTCTTCCCCTTCCATGTCACACAGGCCAACAAACATGTAAAAGGCACCAGCCGACTCTCTCCCAATATACAATATCCTACATGCAGAGAAGGCCAGACTTGACCCGACATTGGGGTCAAGTGTGAGAATAACTCTCACGGTTGACCAAGGATTATAAATCAGCCAGGCTCCTCCTGTCACGGCCAACAAACGTAAGAAGGCACCAGCCGACTCTCCCCAATATACAATATCCTACCGCAGAAAGAAGTCCAGACCTGACCTCACATTAGCCAGGTCAAATGCAACCCTGAGCCCAACTCAGGGGCCACAAATCAACCAGGGCCTCTCATGTCACACGGCCCCGTTTGATGACTTTTCCAGAAGATACAACATAGTCTCTGAAAACGTCCAGACCTGACCCTACATTAGCGAGAAATGAAGGAGACCCTTCGCCGCCGCCCCCCGATCAGCTCCAACCTGACGGCTCGCCTCCCCAATATATAGGACGTCCTAGTCCTCCCTCAGCATTCGCAGAGTGATACCCAGAGACACACAGGCAGAGACAGAGAGTGTGTCTTGTAACAAGGTGGCCAGCTACCACGTCCCCGGTCCTGCTCGAGAGAGTCAGGGGCCGGAGGCAAACCCTCCGGTCGCCTGCAGTCGCCTCCCGGTCCAGGACGAGACTTCCCTCCGTCGCCAGCTAAGCAGTCTCCCATAGAGACACCAGGACCACCTGCGGCCTCCCTAGGTCACGTGGTGTTTGTCAGAGCTTTCCATGGGATGAGTTACACGTGGGAAGTGTATTCATTTCATGTTCGTGTCCGAGAATCAGAGTGTCTAGTAACGTAATATGATGTCCTAGTAACGTAAATATAATGTCCTAGTAACTTCACTAGAAGGTGTTATTAATGTGTCCATGTCATGTTCGTAATTAATAAAGAGTTGTAATGAAGCGGTGTTTGAGAAGTCGCCCTTAAGACGTAATAGATGTGTATTGACGTATAAGATACGATAAGTGTAAATAACTATCACGGCCACGCTACCAAAGTCTTTCGCTCTTTTTTTCTCTTACTAAATATTCTTCCTATATATATATAAATATTCTTCTTGCAAGATCCGTCTTGTTATAATTCCCTCACCCACATTCTACCTCTAACATTCCCTCACCCACATTCTACCTCTAACATTCCCTCACCCACATTCTACCTCTAACATTCCCTCACCCACATTCTTCCTCTAACATTCCCTCACCCACAATCTACCTCCAACATTCCCTCACCCACATTCTACCTCTAACATTCCCCCCACATTCTACCTCAACATTCCCACCCACAATCTACCTCTAACATTTCCCTCACCCACATTCTACCTCTAACATTCCTCATTCACATTCTTCCTCTAACATTTCCTCATTCACAATCTACTCTAACATTCCTCACCATTCTACCTCCAACATTCCTCACCACAATCTACCTCCTAACATTCCCTCACCCACATTCTACCTCTAACATTCCTTCATTCACATTCTTCCTCTAACATTCCTCACCATAATCTACCTCCCATTCCCTCACCCACATTCTCCTCTAAATTCCCTCACCCACATTCTACCTCTAACATTCCTCATTCATTCTACCTCTAACATTCCCTCACCCACATTCTACCTCCAACATTCCTCACCCACAATCTACCCACCCTCACCCCATTCTACTCAACATTCTCATTCATTCTACCTCTAACATTCCCTAATTTAAATCTACCTCTAACATTCCTCATTCAATCTACCCAACATTCCCTCACCCATTCTACCTCCCATTCCCTCACCCACATTCTTCCTCTAACATTCCTCACCTCATCTACCTCAAACATTCCCTCACCCACATTCACCTCTAACATTCCCTCACCCACATTCTACCTCTAACATTCCCTCACCCACAATCTACCTCTAACATTCCCTCACCCACAATCTACCTCTAACATTCCCTCATTCACATTCTACCTCTAACATTCCCTCATTCACATTCTACCTCTAACATTCCCTCATTCACATTCTACCTCTAACATTTCCTCACCCACATTCTTCCTCTAACATTCCTTCACCCACATTCTTCCTCCTTATTCCCTCCAATCTACCTCCAACATTCCATCACCCACATTCTACCTCTAACATTCCCTCACCCACATTCTACCTCTAACATTCCCTCACCCACAATCTACTCTAACATTTCCTCACCCACATTCTACCTCTAACATTCCCTCACCACATTCTACCTCTAACATTCCTCACCCACATTCTACCTCCTAACATTCCCTCACTCACATTCTACCTCTAACATTCCCTCATTCATTCTCACCTCCTAACATTCCTCATTCACATTCCTCTAACATTTCCTCACCCACATTCTTCCTCCATTCCTCACCCACATTCTCTCTAACATTCCTCACCCACAATCTACCTCCAACATTCCCTCACCCACATTCTACCTCTAACATTCCCCTCACCCATTCTACCTCTACCCCACCCATTCCCTCAACAGTCCCTCACCCACATTCTACCTCTAACATTCCTCACCCACATTCTACCTCCTAACATTCCCTCATTCACATTCTCCACCTCTAACATTCCCTCACCCATTCTACCTCTCATTCTCCACAATCACCTCCAACATTCCCTCACACATTCTCTAACATTCCTCATTCAATCACACTCTAACAGTCCTAATTCACAATCTACCTCTAACATTCCCTCATTCACAATCTACCTCTAACATTCCCTCACCCACAATCTACCTCTAACATTCCTCCTCTTCCACCTCTAACATTCCCTCACACAATCTACCTCTAACATTCCCTCAC